CGGGGCAGGCGGGAATCGAACTCATGCGGAAGCGGCTTTAGATTCTCAGTGCTGGCTTTAACCTGCTGCGCCACCAGGGAGGGCCCAGCTAGTATTATTTTAACATTGTTTTGGCAAAGGTGTAATGTAATACAGCACTTTAATATGCTTTTGTTAGCAGTATATATTCATTAAATTTCTATGAGAAACAATGCTTCTACATGCCTATTACAATTTAAAATGCCAAGAGGACTCCAAGGAGAAATGACAACTTAACATAATGTGACTATTCTGGAAGGGAACCTAAGACACATAGACATTAGATTAAAACTAAGGAAATCTGAATAAACTATAGAATTCAGTTAATATATTTAGTGGCTTGTTAATTCCAACAAAAGTACCATAATAATGTAAGATGTTAACAATAGGGAAGCTGGTTAAGGAGTTATACAGGGACACTGTAGTACAGTCTCAATTTTTCTGTAAATCTAAAACCTGCCTAAAAAATAATCCATTAAAAAACTGACAAATGATGTAACACCTAAAAATACCATTATTTTTCAATCTGAAAATTTTTCAATCTGACACATTCTTTACATGTGTTACCCACATGTAGCAACTTTTGTAGTATGTCATAAATATTACTATTTCTTTGTTATAAAAATTATCTTAATTATAATATTGTTGGCATTTGTAAATTAAAAAGTTAGCTGGCCTCAAAATATTATGACATTGGAAAATACTATAATTTTTAGACCTCTGAACTCTAACCAAGTTCCAATACAATAATTACTCTCCCTAGTTTTTCAAAACCACAGAAGATCATCTCTACTTGTCTTAAAAACTATTACAACAGGGCCCTCCCTGGTGGCGCAGCGAGTTGGAACACTGAACGGGGAAGCCTGAGCCACCTCCGTATGAGTTCGATCCCCGCCTGCCCCAGAGGTGACCACATGGCGGGGTCCAGAGGTGACCACATGGCGAGGCAGACCCCTCCTGACCCGACCCCCCCTGACCCGCCCGCTGCTCCCCTCAGTGGTGTGCTTCACGGATCTGCCCCTGGTGAATCCTCTCACCCACCGCATCTCTGGCCTGTACCCCAGCTCTGTATGAATAAATAAATAAATCTTTAAAAAAAAAAACTATTACAACATACTTAAAATTAATTTTGTAAATTTAGCTATGAATAAGCAGAAGAAAGGAAAGCAAAGGCAGAACTAAAATCAAAAAAGTTAGGAATCATCATCTAGATATTTTGAGTTGTGATTGTATTTACATGTGTGTGTTTAAAATTAATAATTTTAAATCACAATTTATTTCTTAGTCATTTAACCTAATTTTACAACAAAAAAAGGGCCTTAAAATATAACCATTTAAGGTTGAAAACATTTATATATAGGTTAATAAGTATTAAAATGATATAAAAACAATAAAATATTAAAATCTATGCTATGTGATAAAAATGTAAGCTTCACACTTTTAAATCTTCTATTAAAAAAATAGCAAACACAAATTAACTAAATAAGCACCTAATTCAAAAAGATATAACAGCAACCAATTCCCAAAAAACTGACAACAAGAAAATAAAAAATAAGTTGATTTCTATTAAGTCTAAAATAACAGGAGAAAACCTATAGTGTCAAGACAAGGGGTAGGAAAAAATTTTTTTAATAAACTATAATTTAGGAAAGTTATAAACGATATGGGATTTGTGTGGAATTTTAGAAATTTAAGGAATGAAAATGGTATTCAAGTCTAATGTAAAGGGCCTCTCTGGTGACAAGGGGGGTTAAGTCTCAGCACTTATCAAGCTATCTGCAGCCACTGCGGCCTGAGTTCAATCCCCAGTACAGGAGCTGACCCACTTGGCGCGGCAGACCTCTTCTGACAGGTCGGCTGCTCCCCTCAGCAGTGTACTTTAGTACATCTGCCTGTTCTGCACCCCACTCTGCCTCTGGTGAATCCTCTCAGCTCCCACACCTCAGGTCTTGTATTAATAAATAAATAAATCTATAGAAAAAAATAAAAATATTAATTTTAATTAAGGCAACCAAAATAAAATAATCACGATATTAACAGATTATAAAAGTTTATCATTTCTAATGAGAATTGGCAAATATTTCCATTTAACATGGAATTGACATGCTCTTACCTTTGACTGCCCTTACTCCACTACCACAAGCAGCTTTTCTGTTACTAATCTTTATAAAAATATTTTGCTCCCATAGTTTTTTCCTGCTTAGTCCCATGACAGAACACTTACAAAACATTTCAATGATATATTATTATTTCTTGGCCAAGGTTTTTACTTAGGGAAAAATATATATAAATTAGATGTAGAATATATATATATATATGCACTTATATAATCCATATCTATATGTATGTATATATATTATATTAAATACGTATTTATATATAATATAGATGTAGAATATATATATATATATGCACTTATATAATCCATATCTATATGTATGTATATATATTATATTAAATACGTATTTATATATAATATAGATGTAGAATATATATATAATCCACATCTATATTATATATGTATTTTTTCTATATTATATATTTTTATACTATATATAATTACATCTTTTATCGTTTAAATTTCTCAAACTAAGTTAAAAAGAAAATCGCAATGGGCTCTCCCTGGTGGCGCAATGAGTTAAAGCACTGCATTATGGAGCTCTCAGAAGCCACTGCAGCACCAGTGGGATCCTCCACCAGGGCGCTGACCCACATGGTGTGGCAGACCTTTTCTGACCAGCCTGCTGCTCCCCTCAGCAATGTATTTCAGTGGATCTGCCTTTTCTGCTCCCCACTCTGTCTCTGGCAGAAATTCTCACCCACAACATCTCTGGCCTGTACCCCAGTTCTGTAAGCATAAATAAATAAATTGTAAATGGAAGCTACTGAGAAAATATCACCACATATTCCTTGATTGAGAGGATATTCTGAAATATACTTTGAAGTGCATGAAGAATACTCAAGTATTGGAACATTAACACAAACATCTATGGTAACACTGAAACATGTACTAACACCATTCCGCTAAGCTACTTCACCTGCTCTCTTGGTAATGATATGGGTGATGCTGCAGTACATCCTGCAAGAAACGGTCCATCAAACTCGTGGTGCGTCTGTTCTGTGTGGTCAAGTATCTGTGCTGACTGCTGGCCACATGCTAGAATGAAAAAGGAAACTAAATGAAGTCATTTTACATAATGACTTCATTTATGTGTCTCAAGTATATATATACAAATACTATGCATCTAGAAACCACAACAGTATCTTCCCATTCAATATGGTAATTACATTTCTCTTAAGTGCTCAAAGAAATCTTAAATGTGGGTGATATATGTTAAAAATATACTTACCAACACACAATAAAAAAGTAGAAATCCCCTAAGTGTCAATAGCAAAGTCCTTAAGTTATATTCTTAGATGCAAATTGCAGTTTCCTTAAATAATATGAAGAATTTTTTAAAACATAAAAAATTACATATTAAGCAAAAACAGGTAATGCAAAAATCTTTTGCTTCTATCCCAAACTATAGTTAAGATGTATAGATACATTCATGGAAGAAAAGATACCATAGAAGAAAATATACCAAAGTCTTAGAAGCATTTATAGCTGGGTGGTATGATTATGGGTAATTTTTTTTAATTTGTCTTGTAAATTCTCATATTTTTCAGTGAACAAACATTTTTATGATGAAAATCTGTTAAAAAGAAAGGGCTGAATCACTGTATTTTTTTTAAAGACTTATTTATGCATACAGAACTGGGGTACAGGCCAGAGGGGCAGGGGCAGTGGCAGTGAGAGGATTCACCTGGCAGTGAGAGGATTCACCATAGACAGAGAGGGGAGCAGAACAGGCAGATCCACCGAGTACACTGCTGAGGGAAGCAGTGGGCGGGTCAAGAGAGGTCTGCCGCGCCATGTGGGTCACCTCCGGGGCGGGGATCCAACTCATGCTGAAGTGGCTTTAGCTTCTTAGTGCTGTGCTTTGACTCCCTGCGCCACCAGGGAGGGCCCAGAATCACTGTATATTAACAATTCACAAAAAGGCCTCATTTTCCTTCTGAGGTTAAAAATTTTGCCTTAAACAAAATGCCAGAAATAATTCACATTTTTCTGTCATGCAATTCTTTCACAGTAAGGAAGATTTCTATCTCGTCTGTTGCTCCCCTCAGCAGTGTATTTCAGCACATCTCCATGTTCTACTCCGCACTGTCTCTGGTGAATCCTCTCACCTCCCACACCTCTGGTCTACACCCCAGCTTTAGTATGCATCAATAAATCTTTAAATAAGTTTTAAGAAGTTGGTGGTACAGTATACACACACCACGGAGTTATAGTCAATGATTAAAAAAGATAAACTCAACGCATTTGCAGCAACACGGATGGAGCAGGAAGGAATTGTACTAAGCAAAATAAGTGAGAGGAAAAAAAGGTAAGTATCAGAAGATTTTACTTATACTCGTAAGGGAGACAGACCAAACAAGGAATCAGAAAAAAGACAAACTTTGCAAGCTGATCAACAGCGAAGCACGCAGGGAGAAGGGGGACAAGGATGAGAGGGATGAAAGCTGGGAAGGAAGGCACAAAGGACTCTGGCAATGGATCGCAAGGGCTGTGGTGGGAGGACTATACCAGAGAGGGGAACCAAACGGTCTCCAGAGAGCACTAAGGGCCACTTGTAAAAACACCCCCCCCCCCATAACCAGGCACCGGGGAACCTGAGATAAGTTGCAGAAAGCTGGTAGAACTGCCCCAGGCATAAGGAACTCCAGCAGCCCCTCCCTGCGGAGAGACTCTGCCACAACCTCCACCTCCCCTAGGCATAACAGCCTCCCTTCACACCCCCCCCACCTCGCCCTCCGACCCTAGCTGCCCTCCAGCCTCTGACCCCTGCCCTCTGATCCCC